AGAACGAACGCCCAGTGCCCGGGCAATCCTGGTACGAGACCCTCTGCCTCATGGTGTGACTTAAAGCCACAACACCTACCTCTCCCGAATTCCTCTTCCAAAAGCCTATAGCATTAACCTTTAAAATCCTGACCACAGTTTACCTCCATGAAAGTTCCAACGTGCCGTCACCTGGGGAGAGAGAACAGTTACCCTCTGCTGCCTGGCACGGACACCTTGATGCACCCCCAAGCACTGGGAACAGCCAGGACGGTCCCTTTGGGCTGGGGAAGAAAGGAGACAGGCTGGGCCTGAGCAGGGGGGCTTGCGGAAGCTGAGCAGGAACCCCGAGGATCTGGGAGAAGGAGGGCGGTCGTGATGGATGGCGCTGGGGCAAAGGCGTACAGGGCTTGGGGGTTTGTGTTTGGGGCATATTGCTGGTGCATAATAGGTGCTCAATAAATATTTGCCATTGAAAGATGGGGCCTGGAAAGAGGCAGCGTGGGCACTGGCAGGCGTGGGCTGTCTCCAGGGTGCCCAGGGCTGGCCCAGCTCAGCAGACATCGGGGGGCCAGGAAGGGAGGCGCGTGGGAGGGGTCGCCGGCCCATTCGAAGGCCCAGGGACTCCTCTGTCCCTGCTACCCCTTCTCACCACGGAAGGACCCTGATTCAGAGGCTTCTAGGAAGCAAGGCTTCCCTGCGGAGCATCTTCAGTGATGAGGCAAGGCAGCCACGAGAAACCTCTTTGCAAGAGGAAGGTTGGTGACCTCAGGTTTCTGGATTTGATCCTTTCTGCTAGGCTGTTTTAATCTGCAGAATTAAGTGGTCATGAGGCTTAAATAAAATAATAAAAATCAGGCCCTAGCTTAGGGCGCAGTCTCTATAGATACCCTTCCCGGAGGGGGCCGGTTGCCATTGTTACTGCCCTCAAAGTGGTGCGAGATGCTGCCATCTAGTGTGCATCAGGAGGAGAACTTTAAAATTTTAATTAGAATTGGAATTAATTAATGAATCTACTATTATTTTTATTATTCTTTCCTCTGTAGGCCTTAGAATTCTTTTTCAGAATATTCATCTTCTGTTCTTGATCTTAGGTGAACTAATGTAAGTCAAACACGTCCATTTGTTATGCTGGCCTCCTGCACACAGAGTAAACAGTCCTCTCTTCTGGTCCCAGAGCTGCCTCTCCCTGTGGGGCAGTGGACGAGTCCCTGAGCCTCCGGATGTGCTGTGTTTCTTATCCATAAAATGGGCTAACTGGACTTTTCCCGTCCACAACTGAGTGTGAGAAGCCCAATTTCACCCGTTCATTCATTCATCCGGCCATTCCGGGGTGGAGTCTGCTGAGTACCAGCCCGGGACCCCCCTTGAGTAAGGAGGGTGCAGGGCTGCCCTCCGGGAGCCGGTGTTCCAGGGAGGAAATAGATTCACACACAAAATGAACAAACCATGGAACCATTTCTCACGCAGACTCTCTTCCTCCATTCTTTGCTTCCAATCTTTTTCCTTTCCTAATACTAAAATTCTTTCCTGACACACAACTCTGAACATCACCGCCTTGCTCAGAAACTGTCTCCCTTGTCAATATAATAGAGTCCCGTTTCTCTCTCCTGGAAGTCTCTCCATCCTGGCCGCTCCATCGGGCTACTTCCAGTGTTTTGAACCCATAGCAGGTGAATTTTGCCAGGTGTCAGGTGTTCTGCTAAGTGCTTTATCTGTTAATCTTCACCACAACCCAAGAGCTACGTCCTATCATCACCCTCTGCTTATCTGTGGGGAAACTGAGGCGGAGAGAAGCCAAGGAACTCATCTGAGGCTACACAGCTAGTAAACAGAGGTCCCTGGAGCTCAGACCCAGGTTCCCGTGATGGCAAAGCCTGTGCCCTTAGCCTCTGTGTCACGCTGCCACCTAGCTTCCTGCTTCTGCAACTCTGCTCTCCCCACATCCGGTGTACTGGCCATCTGGTGAAATCTCACCGGTTACTCGTGGTTCAGCTCAAAAATCCTGACCACCAGGCTGCCCCTCACATCCACGGCCCTGCTTGGCTCCCCCCAGCCCTAGAAGGGTCCCTACCTGGGTCAGGCTCTGTCACGCACGATGGAGCTTGTACTCGTTTGCCTCGACACATTACAAGGATCTCATCAACGTCTGCGGCGGCCTGAACTAAACACAGTTTTGCTGAATTGCAGTAAACGAACAGCACGGGAGAAAGTGCCCTGTACACTGTAAAACGCCAGAGAAACGGAAGTCAGCAGAGGCTTTTAACATTTCTTTATAAAATGGAAACCGATATAGAATATGAAATGTTCATTTGTGCCTGAGCGTGTCTTGGTTTTGAGTTTAGGCCACTTTCTATTACAATTCAGGATTGCTTCTGCCATTTGAACCGGGGGTCACTACACCGGAAAGTGTTTGCGTTACTGAGAAAGAGACTTGAAACTATCCCTGCGCAGACCTTGCACCAAGGCGAGCTTGACCCTCCTGACAGAACTTTAAGTAGCTTCAGTGCAGTGGCTCCAATTAGGGGAAAATCTCACCAGGTAATGGATGGGACCCTGGCCTACGATCAGGCACTTGGTTCTGTCTGGGCCTCTGCCCCTCACTGGCTGTACCTTCTTAAACTTCTCAGTGCAAAAAGGGAGCTGCCCAAATAATTTCTGAGGTCTCTTCCAATCCTAGGGTTCTTAGATCTTGGCTCTGAAGCCGCATTTCTTGGAGTCATTTAATTGATTTTGGAAAAGCAGTTTCCTTGCCTATAAATTGGAGCTGGCCTAAATTATCAGAAAATTGTGGACATTGCAGAGAAATATGTATGGAAATTGCCCTTGCAATTAAAAATCTAATAAGTGAAGGGAAGAAGAAAGGAGCACAGCGTGTTGTCAGAGGTAAGTTTAAAAGGACGGCTCCCTGTGGCGGCCAATTTTCTCTTTTTAGAAGACGAGTTAAGTACATGAAACCTGGAATATCTTTTTCTTTGGAGTGACAAGCTGAGATTTACATAGTCTGTGACATTAGAAACTACGTCCCTGTTCTGTAAGTAAGATTGTCTTCCCCTTTCTCTGGTTGTCACGTTCTCTCATTTCTGGGCGGATCTGTCTGATCTTTCTGAATAATAGTTCCAGACTCAAAAACTAGCAAGCTTAACACCTTTTGTGGCTGCTACTGAAAATTGCTTTATATGAAATAATTTGGAATCAGGGAGAAAAATATAACATTAAAAAAACCAAAATTTTCTTACATAATATAATATGCTTAAAAAAATTAAATAGTGATCAAAGAAATCTTAAAAGTCCAGGCATAGATAGCCTCAAAGGCAAGTTCTATCAGATAGTTAAATTTTTAACTAAATCAATTTTACACAAACTATTCCTGAGCACAGCAAAAAAGCAAACACTCTCCAACTCAATTTATGAGGTTTCCAAAATCTTGATAATAAAAAAAGGACAAGTAGGAAACAGGAAAATTACTGGCCAATAACACTTATGATCATCGATGCAAAAATTCTATACAATATATTGGCAAACTAAATCCAGCAACATATTAAAAGGATAATACATCATAACCAATTTTGTTTATTCCAGGAATGCAAGGCTAGTTTGACTACAAACATTAATTAAAGTAATTTTCTAAATTATCATATAAAGGGAGAAAAATCGTAGCCAAGGAAAAAGGATCAGTCTAGGAAGCTTAGCCCTACCAGATATCAAGGCATAGTATAATACTCTAATAATTAAGATTGTGTGGTATAGATGTAGAAAGAAAAAATTAAACAATGGAACAGAATGTGGTCCAAAAACCAGATCTACACAGATATTATCATTGGGTATACAACACAGGTGACATTGCAAATCTGTGAGGGGAGAACTGACATTTTAATAAATGTTACTGAAATGATGATTTATCCAGATGGGGAAAAAATGGATTCTACATCACACCATACAAAAAAATTAATTCCAGGTGGATTAAAGGACCTAAATATGAAAGCAAAGGTATAAAGCATTTATAAAAGAATATTTTGAGGACTTTGGAATAATGAAACATTTCTTAAGACAAAAATTGTAAGAAAGATATTAGCAAAATAATAATTGACAAAGGACTCACATCCAGAATATATAGAGAAAACTTATCAGTTAATAAGACAAAGAACCCAATAGAAAATTGGGTTATAAGATGTCGACAAATATTGCACAAAAGAAGGAAAACTCAATGGCCAAAAAAAGTGTGAAGGATGGTCAGCCTCATTAGTAATTATAGAAATGCAAATTAAAGCCATAGTGTAATACCAGTACATTCACACCAGATTTAAAATTTTTAAACAACTGACAATTTCATGTGTTGGAAAGAATGTGGAACAATTAGAACTACTGGGGGTGGGAATAAATATTGCTGCCGCACTTTGGAAAACACCTGTATGGACATTGCATTAGTTTTCTAATGCTGTGTAACAAAAGTCACTACAAATGTAGCAGCTTAAAATATCACACACTTATTAGTACACAGTTGTATAGGCCAGAAGTCAGATGGGCTTGACTGGGTTCCCTGCTTAACTCTCACAAGGCCAAAGTCAAGGTGTCAGAATATATATATTCTTTTTCAGATTCTTTTCCCTTACAGGTTATTACAAAGTATTGAGTACAGTCACCTGTGCTATGCGGTAGGTCCTTGTTGGTTATCCATTTTATATACGCTAGTGTGTGTATGTTAATCCCATACTCCTCATTTATCCCTCCCCCCTCCCACTTTACCCTTTGGTAACCATAAGTTTGTTTTCTATGTCTGTGGGTCTATTTCTGTTTTGTAAATAACTTCATTTGTATCTTTGTTTTAGATTCCATGTATAAGTGATACCATATGATACTTATCTTTGGTTTACTTCGCTTAGTATGATAATCTCTAGGTCCATCTGTGTTGCTGCAAATGGCATGATTTCATTCTTTTTTATAGCTCAATAATATTCCACTGTGTGTATATATACCATGTCTTCTTTACCCATTCATCTTGTAATGGACATTTAGGTTGCTTCCATGCCTTAGCTATTGTAAATAGTGCTGCTATGTACATTGGGGTGCATGTATCTTTTCGAATTAACCTGGATCACGGTTGCATGAGTATTTGCTTTGTAATTATTTACAACACAGACATGTTTTATATACTCTTATATAGTATGAAATATCTCACAATCCATTTTTTCAATGGCAACATTTTAATTAAACCTAATGATTGGTGTTGTAAAAAAGCCCTGGTCATCTAGGAAGTGGACACCAGCATGTCTGGGAAGAAGCAGGAAACCAGGGGCTTTCACAATATGAAGGTCTTGAAAGAAAGGATCTCTAATTTCATCTCCGAGCAGCCTCCCGCTGCCCTGCAATAGTATCTTGCCTATCAACCAGCCCTTCCCGTGGGTTCTAGCAACTGCCAATATGCATTGGAGTGAATACAACTTGACTGTTCCGAGGGACAAAGGTGAGATAATTAGGGTGCATTCACATTGCAGCAAAGGAAGTTAGATGAGATTTGCTTTACCTGTTAGTTGTTTAAATCAATAGCACTGGCCACCATTGTAATAAATCTGTCAAATGTGTATTGGCCTTACCACGTTTGTCAGTGCAAACCCCAGACCCTGAGGCCTCATCTTCATCTCCTTTTCCTGGCCCCTTATCGGCAAGCTGAGTGAGTACAAGCATCTGTTTGTAGGAAATTTCATTTGGAATTCTCTTTAAAAACCAGATCCCTATAAAAACGGAACAAAGGGAGGTTTGAAGGGGAGGAGAGCTCATGCATAATAAATTATCCTTCACTTTTGCTTTGTAATTTCTTTTGGCCCTAAGCTCTATTTTCACGTCTGCTTTAAATGATGCAGAGATTTGTCTGCCGACGAGGGCTATGGGGGCACTGGAGCGCGAGGCCCTTGAAAAAGCTGGACTCTCCCCTGTTCTTGGAGGAAGAGGCACTTTGGGATGCTCCTACTAGAAATGTGGAAGGAGGGCCTTCAGCGTACAGTTTGGGGAGGTAAAATCCACGCAGCAGTGTCTTAATTCAAGCAGTTTCTTCTATTGATATAAAGGGTTTTACCATTATTTGAACAGGATGGATGTGTTTCTTTGAAAAGAGCACCATGGAAGGGAAGGAATAAATACTGAGTAAGTAAAATTTGAATTCATTCTAACGACGACTTTATCAGCTCTTTCCCTCCAGACACTGGCCATGCCCCGTGTTACTCTGTAGCCCCAGTGCCTGGTGTGGTGCCTGGAGCTGCTGGTGGGCACTCACTGAATCACAGTGACTGAATGAATGAATGAGGTGAACGTTGGGTCCAGCATCCAGGCTTTGATTAGTACTCTTCCCTGACCACACTTTCAGGATCCCTGTATCAAGAGACTTTCCCCCCAGCTTGTTATTCTCTGAATTTTGAATGGAAAAGCAGTCACAGTTTTCTACTGCACCAATCACTAAAGTCATCAGTAACCTGAGGCTGAGCTTCTGGTATTAAGATCTTAAAGACTCAAGACTCTTTGTATTTCATTTCATATCTGAAATGAAAAGTTAAGTTGTGCTAATTCGTGTAGAATAGCACATCACATATCTTTTCCCGTAAAATGAGGTTATCAAACGAAATGTAAACATAACGGAGGAGCTTAGACGGCCTATCAAGGTAATTTAAAGAGATATCCTGTACTATTAGGCTGCAAAGCCTTGGATCCCTTCCTTGATGGTTGTCAAAGCCAATTCCTATGTCCTGAGAATAAAAGAAAAGAAGCATCTGTCCATAGAGGTCACTCATCATGTTTCCCAGCCATAAATTTCTGTGATACAGAACCATAAGAGTAGGAATTTAAGCCAATGTGTAGTTAGTGAGAAATAGTTTTTCTTTTTGTTAGGCTGTATATGAAGCTGAGGGATTCTGAAACTGGTCTGCCTGCACTGCAGGCACACAGGTCTGGAGGTCAAGCACAGATGCCCTCCTTAGAAGCACAGAACAAGGGCCTGCTCAGGGTTGTCACTCTTCTCGGGTTGCCCGAGAAGCTCCCTGGCCCCTCAAACATCAAAGTGCCCAGGAATCAATACCTGTGCTCCCCCTCCCATCAGACCAGGAGCCAAGAGCATCAGTGAGTAAACTTCCTAGAGTGTATAGGAGATGGTCTCTGCTTCCTCCCTCCCTCCCTCCCTTCCCTTCTTTCTTTCTTCCCTCCCTTCTTTCTTCCTTCCTTCCCTTCTTTCTTCCTTCCTTCCTTTTCTTTCTTTCCTTCCTTCCTTCCTTTCTTTCCCTTTCTTTGGTTCTTCCTTCCTTCCCTTTCTTTCCTTCCTTCCTTCCTTTTCTTTCTTTCCTTCCTTCCTTTCTTTCCCTTTCTTTGGTTCTTCCTTCCTTCCCTTTTTTTTCCTTCCTTCCTTTCTTTCTCTTTCTTTCCTTCCTTCCTTTCTCTCTCTTTCTTTCTCTTTCTTTCTTTCTCTCTCTCTCTCTCTCTCTTTCCTTCTCATGCTCTTCTTTCGATTTATAACAAGAGCATTGTGGCTGAATTTTCACACTTGATTCTACAAGCATTTGATTAAAACCCCACCACAGTCTAGAACATCAACACTCATCTTCTGGATGACATGTGCCAGTCAACTGTTCCCCTTTTTACCAGAAAAGAGGCTTCTAGCCCCCAGAGGGGCAGGAACACACAGAGTGAACACGACCATGAAAGTGCGTTCCAAGCTCGAGTGAAAGGCTCTGGAGTGTCGGCTGGGGGAATTCATGGTTTTCTAGGTAAGCAGACATAGCGTCAAATCCTGCTTCATTTACACATTTCCTCAGCAAATATTTGAATGCGTCCTGTTGGCCAGGTTCTCTTCTAGGCATCCACGGTATATCAGTAGACAGACAAATTCCCCATTTTCACACAGCTTGCAGACTCGCAGAGGGTGCATGTAAACAGACAATGCAACTAAATTACCATATTTTGTTGATTTGGGGAAGTACAGAGTTGCACATGAGCTGCTCTGAAGTTGGGAGGCCTTCCTTCTACCATCACGGGCATCTTACAGTTACTGTTGGCCAGTAAGCTGCCTCTAAGCATTTGTCCTCGCCCCGTGAATGGGCAAACCTGACCACAGCTGTGTAATAGGGGTGGAGCCGGAGCGCAGTTGCTCTCGCGAGACCCAGAGTGCGGCGGTCGGAGGTCCCGCCCCGCCAAAGGCCCGCCTGGCGGCCGTGGTCCTCGTGGCGGAGAGCACGGGGGAGAGGCGGGTCCGCAGCCTTCTCCCCGGGGCCCTCCAGGCCCTCTCGCCTCGGGCCAGCGGGTGAGCTGGGGCACCCGGGGACAGGCTGGGGGCTGTCCCGCAGAGCCCCAGAGCCCTCGCCACGGCCGCCCCCAGGCCTTGAAGCAGCAGCGAGCCTCTCCCCCAGCCCCACCTCTGCGACCTGATGGCGGCGGCAGCGGTCTCCACGGGCCGCGGTCCACGGAGGCCTCAGCAGCTGGAGTATATGGACACTGCCAGTAAGGTAACAGCTTCAACCAGCTTCAGTCTCTCCATTCACGTTTCAGAAATTGGTCCAACTTAGATCAGTTGTCTACCCCTAGGGGGTCGCCAGGCGTCAGGGTTAAGTTGCAAGGACGTTACACGTCATGACCTCAGGTTCACCTCTGTGTTTGGGGCGCTTCTCAAAGAAGGACAATTGTCGTGAGCTGGGGATTAACCTGATTGGTATTTGCTACAACACGTATTTCTATGGCTCCTATACAAACGATTCTCTCCAGTTTAAATGAAAAGCTTGAGGACCAGCCGGCTCCCCCCTCAGCGATAATGGCTGCGCAGGGTCTGGGGCCCTGGCCCTGAGGGTGCCGCCAGCTGAGAGCTGCCTCTTCAGCCGGCCTGGGCACTGGAGGGAAGACCTAGACAGGGTGCTGGACGAGCGCTCCGGGGCAGGGTCCCCGGCCCGACCTGAGACCCTCTCCTCTTAGCCAGGACCTGGACCTAGGAGGGGGAAAGTTGAGCCGTGGGACCTTGCCCTTTCTTGTGAGAACGGAGAATAACATTTGTTTTGGTGGAGGTTTACAGGAACATCGTGACCTGACCGTGACCTGACCTCAAGAACAAAGGCTCTGAAACCAAGAAGTTAGCAACAACTCACCACACCCTTCCCTCACCTTTCCTATAAAAGGGCTTTGCTGAAAGCTTTCGGGGAGTTGGGGGTTTTTAACGCATGAGCCACTTGTCTCCTTGCATGGCCCTGCATTAAACCTTGCTCTGCTCCAAACTCTGACAGTTTGGTATTGTTTGGCCTCCCTGTGCGTGGGGCATATGGACTTGTGTTTGATAACAGCTGTTCGTAATATTGTTGCTACTTCAATCTGGTCATGCACATTGTTGATACTCTATGCATAGGATTTTATTTGCTACTTAAAATGTCTTTAGAAAGATTCTGTGGTGATTCGGCATTGAAACAAAAAGTTATGTACACAAAAAGTCACGGGAACCAAGAAGCAAATATTGAGTCTTGGAAGAATGACCGCAATTCCGTATTTTCTTATAAACAACCAGCAGTGTTTTGACACCTTAAGAAAGGAAGATACCTCGAAGTAGACGTAGCCATATCATGTTTTATTAGCGAGTTGTACTTGCAAATGGATTGCCTATCACATGCCAAGGGTTTTGACCAGAGGCTGAAGACATCGCTTAAAACTTCTGAATTACACAAAGAAACCTGAGCAGTGTGGCCTAAAATTAAGGCCTTGACTTGGCTGGCAAGTCTTCTCATTTAGTGACACACTACCTAATGGTGTGTCTTAAAATTCTTGCTGCCTTCGATGAAATGTGATGCTTTGAGTGTAAGAAGTGTTGTGCAGGAGAATAACACAGGAAGGTGCCATTGTAAATGGCATGGATTCGGAAGTGCTTGCTGAGAAGGTGACATTGGAGCCAAGACCTGGAGGAGGTCAAGGAAAAGCCATGCTTCCTTTCAGGGGAAGAGTGTTTGGAGAAGAATGACTAAAAAAATAAAGACTTAAGGGCATACTCCAGCCAAATACAAAATAAAGCTCTCGCTGGGGGATGTACGTTCCAGGAAGACAGAGACTGTGAGCTTGTGGCTGTTCGATCTCCCTGCAGGTCAATATTTGTGGATTAAGTGAATGAACTCAGAAAAGGGAAAGGAACGCTATAGTGAGTGATGAAACATTAGCATTTAAAGTTACATTTAAATAATTGCTGTTAATGTAGTCATGAGGTTTAATACTGTTATGGTCTGAATGTTTGTGTTCCCCTCAAATTCATATGATGGAATCCTAACCCCCAAGGTGATGGTATTAGGAGGTGGGGTCTTTGGGGGTGATTAGGTCATGAGGGTGGAGCCCTCATAAATGGGATTAGTGTGCTTATAAAAGAGACCCCACAGAGCTCCCTAGTTTCTTCTGCCATGTGAGGATAAAAGAAGTCCGTGACCCAGAAGAGGGCCTTCATCTGCTCATGCTGGCTCCCTGATCTTGGACTTTCAGCTTCCAGAACTGTGAGAAATAAATTTCTGTTGTTTATCTCTCTTGCCACCCAGTCTGTGGCATCTTGTTACAGCAGACCCAACAGACTAAGACAAACACATTTTTAAAGGATTTAAAAAACTAAACAGTGTATGTCCCTAGAGAACTGCAAATTAAAACAACAGCTAGATACCATCATACACCATTAGAATGGCAGAAATGCCAGATACTGAGGATCCCACGTGCTGGTGATCACGTGGAGCAGAAGAAACTCTCGTCTGTCGCTGGTGGGAATGCAAAACGGTGCGGCCGCTTTGGAAGTTCAGCAGCTTCTTACAAAACTAAACATAATCTTACCATGCAATCTAGCAATTGCACTCCTTGGTATTTATCCAAATGAATTGAAATTTTATGTCCACACATCCTCAGGAAAACCTGCACGTGGATGTTTATGGCAGCTTTATTTACAATTGCCGAAACTTGGAGGTAACCAAGATGCCCTTCAGTAGGTGAATGGAGAATAAACTGTGGTACATCCAGACAATGGAATATTATTTAGCACTAAAAAAAAGAACAACATGGAGGAAGCTTAGATGCATATTACTAAGTGAAGGAAGCCAATATGAAAAAAGCTACATACTGTATAATTCTAACTGTGTGACATCCTGGAAAAGACAATACTATGGAGACAGGAAAGGATCAGTGGCTGCAGGGATTGGGGAAGAGGGGGATGAATAGCGGGAGCCCAGAGGATTTTTAAGGCAGTGAAACTACGCTGTGTGACATTACCATGGTGATACATGTCATTATATGTTTGTGAAAACCCACAGAATGTACAACACCAACACCAAGAGTGAACCTTAATGTAAACTATGATTTGGGATGATAATGATGTGTCAGGTTCATTGATTGTATCAAATGTACTGCTCTGGTGCGGGGTTTTATAGTGGGAGAGGCTGTGCGTGCATGGAGGTGGGAGCAAAGGATATATGGGAACTCTACTTTCTGCTCAAAAGTACGGAAAGTGAACCTAAAAGTGCTCTAAAAAAATAAAGTCTATTAGAAGTAAAAAAAAAAAAAAGCGCTCATGATAATAATTATAATCTTGGAACTAAAATTCAACGTTACTTCAACAAAGCTTAAGGGCAAGGGGTCGTTAAGAAGAGGGCATACAGGAAGTTGTCAACATATCATCTTGTTTGACTTGGAGGAGAGGGAGGTTAAAATACTATTTAATTATTGATGTTGCTAGAAAATGTGGTTCAATTGAGTTAGCTAAAAATGGAAGCAAAACTCTGGTAGACTAGAAATAGAGTGTAGAGCTTCAAAGAGTGTAGAAAAGGACAAAGAAAATTTAATGAACCTAGTATATGATAGGAAAGGAAAAGAAAAAACATTGAGATAATATAAATAGAAAATATAAATGGAATGGGCAAGCATAATATCTTCACCTACCAGGTGAAGCACAAACCCCCCTGTTAAGGGACAGGCTGATGCTGGGTGTGGGCAGGGGGGAGAAGGGGACGGCAGGGGACTTCCCTTAGGGCTCCCTCCAGCGAGGTGGGTGCTGGCAGGGGATGCTCCGGTGGCAAGCCTCCTTCTCCTAAGGGAGCTTGGGGGCAGTAGAGAAGGGAGTTTGCAAATCCTGGTTCATCCCATCCCAGCCACCCATCTGCTTGTGAGATCTTCTGGGTGTTTCTACTGGTGGGAATCGGGCAGGAGTTAACCCAGAAAGCAAAGCCATTATCAGTGACCTCTCTCTCTTCTTGAAGCTGGGGCACACGCCGGTTACCCTGATCCACATTCTCTTGCTCTCTGGTTCCCGCCATCGACATGAGGAGACAGTCAGGCACATCCTCCCGTGACCTGGTGAGTAGTCCCCGCTGTGTGAGGCTGAGGGAGCGGACCAGCCCCCATGCAGTTATGGTGGTTTTTGTCTTTATCCCTTGTTATGCATCCCTTTGGGACGTTCTTGTCTAAGGCAGCTCTGAGCTCGAGAATTTTTGCCAGACTCTGGGGGGGAAGTGCAGCCATGTCTCCCTTTGCAGCTGCTGAGTCACAGGCCAGTCAGCCCTGATCCATTCAGCTGTCCATCCTGCCCCATCTGCATCACACTGTCCACAGAGTTTCCAGCTTTTCACTTTGCTATTTCCCAGCACTCTTTTCTTGGCTAATTTTTTTGTGCTTTGGTTAGTTCCGTGGAGGTTTGAGAGGCAGGGGATGTAAATGACAATCTGAAGATGCAAGTTGCAATTCCAAAAGGATACCTTGTTATAAACTTAGCTCTGCTTACTTTGAGGGTGAGACACTCATGTGGGTGTACCGAGTCAGTTACGATATGTTTGCTAAGAAACAAAGCCCGTCCTTATGAGCACAGCAAGCACATTTCCCCCAGGGCCTTTGTATTCTCCCCGCTGCTGTGCTGGCCCTTCCCCCAGATGCTCATGTAGTTTATCCATCTTCACTCAGTTTTCTGCTCTGACGTCCCCGCCTCAAGGTACCTTCACCCTCTCTTCTTTTTTTTTTTTTTTTGCGGTACGCGGGCCTCTCACTGCTGTGGCCTCTCCCGTCGCGGAGCACAGACTCCGGACGCGCAGGCTCAGCGGCCATGGCCCACGGGCCCAGCCGCTCCGCGGCACGTGGGATCCCCCCGGACCAGGGCACGAACCCGCGTCCCCTGCATCGGCAGACGGACTCCCAACCACTGCACCACCAGGGAAGCCCTACCCTCTCTTCTTTTTAAAAATTTTTACATCTTTATTGGAGTATAATTGCTTTACAATGGTGTTAGTTTCTGCTTTATAACAAAGTGAATCAGTTATACATATACATATATCCCCATATCTCCTCCCTCCTGCATCTCCCTCCCTCCCACCCTCCCCACCCTCTCTTCTTTCCTTGCTTTGTTTAATTTTTTTTTAGCACGTATCACTCCTTGACATTGTATTATGTATTTATAGAACAGTGGCACACAGGAACATCTGTCCATATTTGTGAACGTGAGGATGTGTGACAGTGGAGAAGGGTGGCTAGTCCAGCTGGGGTAGCTGAACCACAGTCCTCACAGTTTTTCTGTAATGTCAGATTCACAATACAACTAACTTTATAGTTTCAGAGGTTTTTTTGCTCCTAGATAAAAAAAAATATATATATATATCTTGCATTTAATTGCATGGTAATATATTGACATTCTGGTTAACAAATCCGCCTCTGTGATATTGAGGTACAGAGCCTGGAGGTGTAACCATGTCAGAGGTCTAAACCTGTTGCCTGTCGTCTTGGCGGCTGGGGTGTCCCTCTGAGTATAACCTTTGGCTTGAGAGCACGTAACTCGGATCTGCCAGGCTGGACAATCCTTCAGAAATAATAAGGCAGTTCAACAGTTCCCAGTGGCTGTGTCTGGTTGCTTCTGTCCTCAGCTGACATCGTTTTATTGATACCAGCAATCACTCCCCACCTTTCTATTATTTTGTAGTGTGATTAATGGTAAGCTGGTTGAAAGGAGCTTTACAACAGTAAACAATGATTTAAGTCGTGCTTTGATCACCTCCAGCTGCCTATTCAAGTGGAGACTAATTGTTCAAGGTGGAAACTCATTGCTAGATGTAGAATTTAAGTACCAAGAGGGGTTAGAGTGGGACAGAAGGTTCTGAGGAGGACTGAGTTTACCTCACACTGAGGGCTGACCTTCCGAAACAACGTTTGGGCAAAGACAAGGGTTACTCATCTCGTTAGCAAAGTTCAGGTGCTACTGGAACTAAACGTCCTCCGGGAGAGACACGTGAGCCAGGAAAAGTA